CCTTCCTCCTGCTTCCCCTATATTCATCCCCTGATGGGGGCTTCAATTCTACATCTCTTGGGCTAGCGCCTAGCGCTGGGGGGATTTCATACGCTGGCTTTAACATGGAGCCAGCTTCTCAATGCCAGTTGTACTCCCTGAAATAACATTCAGTACTCTGCAATTTGCCCATTCTCTTGGTCTTATTATGGCCTGCATTCAAAAGCATAGGGCTTACTTGTGATGCAGACCATCAGGATACATGTCATAAGTGTATATAGACATTATAGGGATGCTGATTTTGTCTAGATAGGTTTACAGGTATTGCAATCATTGATTGATTAAAAATTGATGTGGTCTCTGTATTATTTATGGGCTATTTGTACTACATTACACTATGTTTTTGACCCCTGCATGTTCCTAATCTTGATCAGGACATATGCCCGCAAGTTTTCCACCAAAAATATTTGGGGGTTATGATATCCAATGTGTCTGGACACACTCTCTGGTCAAGGGTGCTATATCACTTCAGCAATGGAACTGAGCTGCATAGATGATCAGTATGTATTACTTATCTACCAATGCTGTATGGGATTCAACAGTTGAGACTGTGAGTGGGAGTACTCAAACAATTTCAATACCTTGCCAGGTCTCATACATCAGTAGATCTGCCCATCTCAAGGTGGGTCATCTCGGGAATAAAGTGACCCTAAGTAACTAATCAGGATCAGCACACATCACCTAGTGAGATACACCATGTTAAAGCCAGCGCATGAAAGCCCTCCAGCGCTAGGCGCTAGCCCAAGAGATGTAGAATTGAAGCCCCCATCAGGGGATGAATATAGGGGAAGCAGGAGGAAGGTGTAGGTGCCCAGAGAGAATGACTGAATGCGCCGGGATATGGATGGTATCGTCGTACTCACAGACCTTAAAAACCCCAGTGAGAATATTTACAGGCGCATATAGCGGTAGGAAAGCGAGCTGCAGGGGGTAGGCTGGGGGGGAGGCAGGAGGAAGGGGTAGCCATAGCTCCACAAACTGTGGATGGATCGTCAAGCGCTTATGAGACACTAATACAGGTACATATATGACTTTATTCAACACCCGCGCCAGCCTATACCTGTACTGGTAGGCTGGCTAGCCCAGTACCAATAAATACGCGCATTTTCTGAATTAATTCCCTGGGGGTGCCATACTGCATCCCATAGCTTACTTGAGTGCTAGCTAATGTACCCATACCTACAGTGCATGTACTACAGCAATCCCTATAGGGAGGAATGCTCTAGAGAGTTAGGGAGGGCAGCCTGAAGTGGGGGCAGCAGGCCAGCAGGGCTTTTGATGGCATTGATGGGACTGATGGACCATGACATCACATTTTTTCTAAAAAATTTCTGGTCCCATCAATCAATCAATTACCCCTTGATCTGCATCAAAGCCACACTACTGGCCCAACAGGCTTCTGACTAACAGTCACATATAATAAACCTTGCTGTCATTAGTTGTATAGTTTGGTTCCCTCTTACATTTAGTGCCCCCTTTAACCACATCTCATTGTTAGTGTCCAGCCAACTACAGTCCAGTCGTCCACACTGGCGAACGTCGTGGCGCGGACCCGATAGCCCGGAGGGAAAGGAATTATCCTATCCCGACCGTACTTTCGCCGGATAGTCTCCGTGGGCCTGTTGCAGTTGCGCGCCAAGTGGTTCTCACCACAGCAGTAGCACACCATGGCCGCGTTGGCCGCATCGATGTCTATGGGGACCACGCCGGTATTGGCCGCTGGTGCCAGTGCGCGCTATTGCTGGGCAGGAGCGCCCCAAGGGCGCCAGTTGCCATTGTGCGGCTGCCACTGGTTGGCGTTGCGCGGGGCCTGCTGCTGCTGCGAGCCACCCGCGGGTCGACCGCTGTTGTTGTTCGCGCTGGCGGACTAGTTGCGCGAGGACGTATTACCGGTGGCCGGCTGCGAAGACTTGCGTGCCAATGCATGATCCAGCTGATCCTCACAATACTGCCGGTCAAAGAGGATGGTGTCCTCATACCAGCCCTCCAGCGTGGTTGGGCACTGCTTGCCCTGTCCATTGACCTTGTCCTTTAGGGCGACCTTGAGGCTCGACTTGAACCAGTCGATGAGCGCTTCCTCGCCATAGCCGCTGAGTAGTGCGTACTCCTTAAAGAAGCGCACGTGCACCTCTGCCGTACCATCCTGCTGGAGAGTGCGGATCTTGTGCTTTGCCGTAGCGCGGATGTTGACGTCTTCATATTTGCGTAGGAAAGCCGCGACCAGTGCATCGGTGTCATTGAGCGGGCCGGTGTAGGGTTGGCCGCTGCGCAAGGTGATGTCCCGTTCCTGAAGCAGCTGATGATACCAGCGGGCCGCGGATTGTTCAAGGAAGCTTGAGAAGACGCGAATCTTCCTGTCTTCGTTGAAGGTCACGCCTAGTTCCTGACTCTGGGTGTACACGTAATGGCTAATGGTGACGGTGAAGTCGCGCAGCTCTGGGTCGTACACCCCCTCCTTGGTGGGCACTCCGCTGAAGCTATGCGGCAACGGCAGGCGAACTTGCTGAGGATGGATGGCGGCGGCCTGAGCGGGGCCTTGTGGGCCCTGCGGCTGAGGCAGCTGAGCGTGGAGAGTGCCAATCTCGGCCCGGAGGGCGCGGATAAGGGGATCCTTGGAGAAGCTGATAGCTGCGGCCAGCTGCTCAGTAGTGGGTGAGCGCACAGCCGTGCGCGCATTCTCCTTCACGACCCAGAAGAGCGAGCCGTCCACACGTTCGGCACGGTAGAGGAAGAGGTCCGTGTCAAGGCCGGGTGGAAGACAGAAGTCATCAGCATCGTCGACGTCCGCATGCCAGCCACCCTCTGGAATAGCCGTGGGGTAATTGGCGGGGTCAACGTACGGCATGATTTAAGTGCGGCGAGAGCGGGGTCCGGCGCAGGGTAGACAGAAGGTCTGGAGAATAGGCAAAGATGGAGGCGACGGGAGTTGGAGTTCACTGGGTGCGTCCCAAGTGATCCACGGGAACGGAGTATTGTCGGCCGGAAGGCAGCAGACGAAAGCGAGCTCGGAAGAGAAGGTGAGACTGGTAGGACCTCCCACCAGACGACGGATGCAATGGTAATAGATGAAGTCACAGTTTACACCGTAGTGTCCCCCTACAGCGACAAAGACGGTGTTGAGACGACGGTTATCCGCAGTGCTCAATGAGTTTAAGCGACGAGTAACTTCACGACGGAAGCTCTGAGTGGGGCGCACTGGTGCAACCTCCATGGCGACGATAGTGATAGCAACAGTGGATTATTTCCAGGGACTACCCGAGGAATGTATCACACTATAGGGGTGGCGATGACGACCCTAACGATGACAGTGATCAAGGCAGTTATGGCGGCGACGAGCATGAGAGCGAGTTAAGGAACCTTGATCTGATATCAGCAACCCTCAAGAATGCGAAAGATGCTATAGCTGAGTGCCATAAATGTCACTCTAAAGCGCCGTGCCCAAAAAATTACCAGGGACCCTAGACGACATGCTCCGGGCATAAGCATGTCTTAGAGAGGGGGCAATGCCATGGTTCAGCCATCACATGACTCAGCAATATCCTTATTCTTGTTCCTTTTCTTTTCTTTTCTGACTTGGTATCTTGGCATTCCGGCACATGGACTCCGGACTCGCATGACTCACACCGTTCACGCATGACTTGGCCTGCTTACACACCCCTCCCTCGTCAGCAGGGCCTGGCTCGCTTAGTCATCCACCTGCTGGTCTGTCTTTGTCATCCCGTTCCCGCACTGCCTTGACTTGTATATAAGACTCTCCCCCCATGTACCTTAGCTCCTTTAGTTCGTCCATCTTGCAATCTACCCTCTGTGGTGTTCTCCTCTGCTGTCTCTGTCTTTGCCACTGCGTACCCTCATATTGTTACTGGGTTTAAGCGCTTGGCATCTGTCTGTCTGTCTTTCTGAGTGCCAGTAGCATGGCTTGGAGATATTCTCTAAGTGCGGCCCTAGCACTATGACTTGCTTATATGTTGGGCGGGTAATCATATTCCAGGAGATGCAGGGCTTGCCAGTGCTGATTGTGAGGATGTCAAGGATGATCCAGTTGCTGTTAGTGCTAGCATATGGAGTGGGGCCAATGTTGCGGATTAGGTAGAAGGTCCAGTGGGTGTGCGTGGAATGGCGATCCTTGACCTTCTTGACCGGTATGTAGGCATAGCTATAACCGATGCAGTCGGGACCGAAGAGCTTGTCAAACCACTCAAAATGATTTTTGGTAGTGACAATAGGGTCGGTAGATGGAAAGGTGGGTTCTAGGCGGATGTTCAGATTAGATATATCGAAGTTGATGAGGAAAAAGGCCACTACAGCTGTGTCAATAGTGCGTGGGGGAAGAGTTTGTCCAAATGCTAGGGGCACACTTATGGGAAACCTCCGAGCCGTGCTATTGGCACTCAGACAGACAGACGGATATGGACCGAGTGCTTATACCCAGAGATTACTCGAGGGCAAGCAGAGGTGGAGAGGGAGAAGACAGAGGAGAACACCACAGAGGGTAGATTGCAAGATGGACGAACTAAAGGAGCTTAGGTACATGGGGGGAGAGTCTTATACACAGGTCAAGGCAGTGCGGGAATACACCGCCGCGGGTTATCGCGGAGTCAAACCGATATGGCCGTTGAGCTCGCGGATGGTCTGCGAATATCGGTCGGATACCGATGATGGGACGGTTAGAGACTGATACTCGCTCCAGCCCACTGAAACCCAAGCGGCCAGTCGGTGAGAAACTGAGCGGCGCCGTAACCAGTGCTCAACGGACTGTAGTTGACTTGGTGATTAGCTGATTAGATGGCTATAGCCAGTGCATGGCTGTTAGCTGAGCCACAGCTAAAAACTAATCAGCTTCCAGCAACAAATAATGCCCTTATAAATGAATAAATCTAATGGTATTGATAATTGAAGCAATAAATGGCTCCTGGGCTAAAGTACGGCATATGCCGAGTGTAGGAAAAGCAATAGATATAATGAATAATGGGCCTGGGAACCCAGGCCTTGTTCGGCACCTCCCGGGCTGTCCCCTGATGGCCCCTTCGGCCCGCGGGTTGCTCGGCGGTGCCTGCTGACCA